CCTGATACTTTGCTGAAGTCTTCTATTAGTTCCAGTAGTTTTCTTGTGGATTCTTTGGGGTTTTCTGTGTATAAGATCATATCATCTGTGAATAGTGATACTTTTACTTCTTCCTTACCAGTGTGGATGCCCTTTATTTCCTTTTCTTGTCTTATTGCTCTGGCTAGGACCTCCAGCACAGTGTTGAATAAGAGGGGTGATAAAAGGCATCCTTGTCTGGGTCTCGTTATCAAATGGAATTCTTTCAGACTCTTTCCATTTAGAATGATGTTGGCTGTTGACTTTGTGTAAATGCCTTTTATTATGTTGAGAAATTTCCCTTCTGTTCCTATTTTGCTGAGAGTTTTTATTATGAATGGGTGTTTGGACTTTGTCAAATGCCTCTTCTGCATCAATTGATAAGATCATGTGGTTCTTATCTTTTGTTTTGTTTATGTGATGGACTACATTGATTGTTTTTCTAATGTTAAACCATCCCTGCATACCTGGTGTGAATCCCACTTGGTTATGATGAATTATTTTTTTTGATTTTTTTTTTATTGAATTCTATTGGCTAGAATTTTGTTGAGGATCCCTAAATATTCTTAACACCTGTTCCCTCATCTCCACCTGCTCCTGTTCAGATCTTAGTCTTCTCTAGACTGGACCCGTGTAATGGCTCCTAAATGAGTCTCCCTCTGCACTGTCAGAGGAAACATCCTAAACACATCTCTGAGCATGTCCCTCCATTAGAATGTTCAGTGGCTTCCCACTGCTGAGGGACAAAGTCCAAACTCCACAGTCCAGCACCCTGAGTCCTTTACAGTGAGGTCTCAACCTTACTTTCCACACATTTCCCACTCTCCCTCCACCCCCAAATGTTCACACTCCTTTTTCAGGCTGTGCACTAGGCCTGGCATTTCACAACCAAAAGGTTCCTTAATGTGTTTTCCTAAATAAAAGTTCAGCAGACCCTGGTTCTCCACCTTTAGCAACACCAAGAACTGTCAGAATCTTTGAAACAACTTCACAGGTTTCAAAAGTTTTGAGTTAAATGTATGGGCCCTCTGTTACCTTCCTCCTTACTTACCTCAGAACGTTGTGAAGATTAAGAGGCACAATGTATTAGAAGAGCTTAGCATAGTGATTGCATGCAGCTGGTGCTCGATACATATGAGTTAGAACACTAATTTTATTATTCCCTCCTTTGTCCCCACCCCTGTAAGCAGGAGGACCAGAGAGCAACAGAAAATTTTCTCGACCTTTCCAGGACAAACCCTAGAAGTTGTGTTTTCCCTGCCCCCCCTTTTTTTCCCAGTTCAGGGGACAGCAGAGCACGTGGCGTTGCTGGGTGAATGTTTGCTGAATGACTGAGTGTATGCCTTGGGGCAGATGCCAGGTTGGGTCCCCTGTCAGCACATGAACTTCCTGCCTGCCCAGGTTGTGGTGTCTGTGCCCTGAACAAAGGCAACAAGTAAGGGGGAACCAAAACCAAACTATCAAGATGATTCGGACTCATAGCGACCCTATAGGACAGAGGAGAACTGCCCCATAAAGTTTCTAAGGCTCTAATCTTTAGGGAAGCCAACTGCCACATCTTTCTCCCTCTGAGCAGCTGATGGGTTCAAACCACCCACATTTCAGTTAGCAGCCAAGCGCTTAATCACTGCGCCACAGGGCCACGCAATAAGGGGAACAGTGGCACTGAAATCGAGCTGGTCATCCAGCTTGGTCAAGCCTGGACTGGGGCAGAGGCAGCTTTTTCTAATTGGTTCACAGACGCCCCACCCCCCAAGCCATTTCCTAATTGGTCTGCCCATAAGGGGCTCTTTTCCGAATTGGTCTACCCCTAGGGGGTGCCTTTTTCTAATTATACAGAGGCGCCGGATCTCCACGGCCTGCACTCCCCAACAGGCTTCCTTAAAGCAAGGCCCACTTTGAGGAAGGAAATTGTGGTCATAAAACAATATATAAACAACCACCTATTAAAATTACAATTAGTGCAATTAATGTTTGTTGAGATATCAGGATATCCTACAGGATATCAGGTACCCACCCTAAAGTCAATCAGAAGGAATTTGGTGATGACCCATCATTTCCTCTCCATTTGCGGTCTTTGCCATCACATTTGCCACCTTTTGTTGATTCCTTCTCATGCACCAGGCCCTGGGCTAAGCGCGTTACACTAGGGCTTCCAACCGGTTCATTCCGGTTCGACCCACTGCTGAGAATTTGCATTTCCACCCCAGGTGTACTGAATCAGAATCTACATTTTGACAAGATCTCCAGGTGATTCTTTTCCAAAGCCCTGCTAAACACAGACTGGACGTCTCTGTTCAACCTCACAACAGACCTTGAGATAGGCACTATTTTTCTCCATTTTACAGATGAGGAAATGCTTGACAGAAGCAACTAGTCCGGAATCCTTAGCTAGGAAATCTAGGAGCCTGGGAAATTGGGGGCAGGCAGGCAGGCCCTCCCTTGCCCGGGAAATCCCTGCACTCTGCAACCCCCTGTCGTGGAGTCCTGCTAACCTGGTGCATCTCATACGGATCGTCCTTCAGGCACCCGCTTTTTGGGGGGAGTATGTTGTGGGCAACACCAGGGTACCCGGACCCTTCACTGGGGGCAGGGGACTGCATTAACCTCCTCCCCGCCCTCAGGCGTTAAGACCCCCTTGTGGAAGAAGGAACTGGAGGAGCCCCGGGCCGGGGAGGCAGAAGAGAAAGAGGAGGAGGGGTCGGAGGAGGAAGAGGAGGAGAGGCAGCCGGCGGAGAGCGCGGCCGAGGGCGAGGAGGAATACCCGGTGGCGGCGGAGGACGAGGGCCGCAACCGGGGCTCAGTGTCCTACTGCCCACTGCGCCAGGAGTCCAGCACCCAACAGGTGGCGCTGCTGCGGCCCGCGGACAGCAGCTTCTGGGCCTGGTTCAGTCCCTTCGCGCTGCTCGGCGGCTTGGGGGCTCCCGCCGACAGGTGAGGGCGCTCCCCTGGCCGCTCAGCCCCTCCGGGAGCCCTATGCCGGCAGAGGACTAGGGCCCGGGAAGGATGGAGGCTGCCATGGCTCCAGGATGAAGGGGTCGGGACTTTGCACTGAGCGCCTGGGCCCCCGCCCGCAGAAAGCGAAGCCTCCCGGAGGAGCCCTGCGTGTTGGAGAAGCCGCGGCGGCGGCCGCGCGGCGGGGGCTGTGCGCGCTGCGAGATCCTTTTCTGCAAGAAATGCAGAAGCCTCCACAGCCCCCCAGTCTACGTGGCGCACTGCATTCTGGAACACCGGGACCTGGGTGAGGCGAGGGCTTCAGGAGGGGCAGGAGCCGCCGGGGGCTCCTGAGCGCCTCACCTCCCCAGCCTTTAGGTCCTCCGTCCTTGCCTGCCTGACCCAACCCCCTGCAACCTTCTCCTCACCCCTGATTCGGAGACCCGCTCCAGCACATTCTGCAGAACTGCCCTTTCTCAGAAACGCCATCCCTCAGTCAAGAGGCCCACTGTTGATGTGGCGTTCCCACCAATGAGGAGCCCAGCACAACCTGGCGCTCCATCCCTCTAATAGCGCCTCCTGAGGGCTCCCCGCCCGAGGCAGCACCCAGTGCCTACTGCCCACCTGACTCGGTTCGGACACAGCCTCACATTCATCTCTTGGATATTTCAGGTCCTTCTGGCCCCCCGGGCAGAGGCATCGCCTAGAGAAAATAGCCTCCCTGTTCCCTCCCCCTTTGAGAAACCTGCCCCCTCCCCTCAAATCCTTCAATAAAGCCTCTGACCAAAGTGTCAGTGCCTTGAGGTGGGGATGAGGTGACTGGGGGGTGGGGGTGATGAAGATTAACCCTTCTCAACTTCCCATAGGGTTCAGGCCAGAGGGAAAAGGGCTGGTAGAGAGCCCCCTCCATCAGCCTCTCCCAGGACAGGGCCTGCACCCAAAGGCCATTCTGCCCACTTCACAGAGAAGAAAATGAAGGCCCAGAAGCCAGGAATGCCCGTTGGGAGTTGGGGGCTGAACCCTTGGCAAGCCCATTCTCCCCTCCCCCTGGAAAACTGATCTTGCTGAAGCTAATGAGTGTAAAATGAGGCTCTGGCAGGTGTGGAGGGGCTGTGGTTGAGGGGAGAGGGCTACAGAAGCAGATGCTAAAATCAGACTGGCTAAGGTGGAGGGGGGCTGGAGAGCTGGTTCCTTCTCTAGGAATTCCAGCTATTCTTGGCCATCTGGTAGGAGCTTCGGGAATGCTGCATGTGTGGCCCGGAGAATGGGGCCATTGTGAGGACAAGGCCTCCCTCCAACCTGCAGTACCGGCAGAGCTTCCCCGTTCTGAGCCGTAGTGGAAGCTGCATCCCCAGGGCCTGCAGACCTTACTACATGTGGTTCTCCATCTGGCCTGTGAGGGAGGCAGGATGTTTTGCTTTTTGAAGCAAGGCAAGCCCCCTTCTACCCATCATAAACACACAGACACACAGACACACAGACACACACACACACACAGAGTGTGAGCACTGTCCCAGCATCCCCGGCATCCACGCCCACCTGGTCTCACTGGGAACGATGGAAGAATGGTTTCAAGGAAGGCTGGTTCTGCCTCCGGCCCACCAGCTGGGGCTCCTCTTTATTCCAGTCCCTCACAAAAGCTGAGGCCTAGCAGGGTTGCGTCAATCTCCCTCCTGCTTAGGGTCCTGACCCCTTCAGGGCCTCTGACGTTGGAGACCCCACACCCCTGCCCCATCCAAGCTTCCTTAGGGTGGCGTCTCTGCTTTAAATAAGACACAGTTCTCCAAAACCTAATACAGGAAGCCCTGAGGGTGAGAGGACAGTTTTGCAAGTGTCCCCAACCTTTGCATAGAATCTTGCATTCTCCCTGATTGGATCTCAATGCTGCCCCCTTGTGGGCGGGAACTCCTCTTTTATCAGAAGAAACAAAATCTCGAAAGCTTGGGAGGAAAGAGGTCCTTGGCGAAAAGGCGGTGAGATCAGGGACTCTTGGATAGATCCCACCCCGACCTCCAGGTGGCGGGAAGGGCACACAGAAAATGCCACATTCTCCAGCGGATAAACGCAAACTTTCTGGTGGAGACTTCCAGCCCAGTCTTCCACAGAGAGGCTGAGGCTTTCACGACACAGGTCCCGCTCCTGAGGCAGAGGAATCGAATTGGCCATGAGGGTGCCAACGGTTCAGTAGGTGGTGGGGCCTTCAGAACAGGGCGCCCCCCGAGTTGGCGTGCCAGCATCCCATCCAGGGCAACTCGGCAGCCCAGCGGCCTGAGGCGGTCGCCCGCAGTTTCGTGTAGTCAAGGCGCCAGTATCTGTCATCTCGGAAGAAGATGACGGAGCCGTCCGGCTGCGGCAGGGCGCCGCTGACCTCCTCAGGGACACCGCCCCAGTCCTGCAGGTCACGGGGATAGTAGGGCTCCACCTGCAGCCCCCCTCGGGCCAACACGTAGTAGCGGGCACCCTTGAAGAGGACCAGGCGACGCAGCGGAGGGAAGAAGAGCGCGGCGTCTGGGTGGCGGGGCAGGCCCCCTGTCCGGCACAGCTGCGGGGAGCGCCACACAGGCTTGGAGCCCCGAAACCTCCAGCATCGACTGCCTGTGGGGCGTGGGGGCGGGGACAAGGTGAGCTGGAGGCTCTCGACGTTTATTCCTCCACCCTAGCCGTCTCCTATACGCTCTCTTCCTGTCCACCCCAGCCCCCATGTTGGAGCCCGGGTTGTTAGTATTCTTAATAGTCATAATGGATTATGCTAATCATTATTTATAAACAGTAGGGGAGATAGGAGGACTGTTGTTGTGGTCTAGACTTTAAGCTGGTGTCAGCAGAGGGCAGATAGTACTGCATGAATCTATTTACCACATAGAGGAAGCAAGGCCCCCTCCCCCAGTAAGGAATGAAAACAGGCAAGGCCAGGAGCTTTCTTCACCACCAAGTACTGTGGTAACTAGTAGTTCCGTGAGGACAGGGATTTCTGCTCTGTTCGCTGCTGTCTCCAACACCTCCAACAGTGTCTAGTGCCGAGAAGGCACTCAATCTTTGTTGAATGAATGAATGAATACTATTTACTGAAGCATTACCATGCATCTAGTATCATACTGCACACTCTTCAGACATTATGCTCTAATTCTTCCAATAAACCTGAGGTATTAATTTCGCCATTCAAGAAATTCAAGCAAAGAAAGTTGAGTGACATGCCCAACCCCACACAGCCAGGATTCCACAGAAGGTCCAACTCTTTCTGCTGAACTGCAGAGCTCAGGAGTGGTCTTCTACATCCCTCTGGATTCTTCTCTGAAATCTTCCCTATCTCTCTCTGCTGCAACCTAGACACCTGCCCAGCCCCCACTCCATTACAGAAAGGAATCCCCTGGTGGAGTCTTCCCTGGGATCACAGGTTCAAATTGGAATAGGGACTCCACCATGGACTCGCTGTGTGATACTCTTCCCCTGTTTTGTCCTCTTAACCTTGGTTGTATAAGACACCTCCTCTCTCTAGGCCTCAATTTTCTCCACTGGCCCAGGGCTGGTACCTTTGAAGAAGTAGAAGTCTCCATCCTCCAAAGACGCTGCAGCAGCCTCAATGTTGGGGGGCAGCCCGGCCCACCTTTCCTGCAGTGAGCGGGGCTCTGAGACGTTGCCATCAGCTGCCACTTCCCAGAAGTGGCTCCCTTTAAAAATGTACACTCGCTGCTGCCCGTCTTCCCGGAGACATGAAAGAAGAGAGGAAGGACCATCAGCCTCCTGTCTTCTTTCCAGGGAAGGCACTTTCCTAGAACTCAGCTTCCCAAACTGACCAGGAGAGGATATAGTGTACACAGGTGGAGCTGAGGGGAAAGTGGGCAGGAGAAAGCAGCATCTGGTGTGGGCTTGCTGCCTGGCAGAATGCTTCTGACCTGAGGCTTCTGGATTTTATAAGTCATCCCCCACCCCCCACCCCCCATCCCTTGTCCCGCAGCTCTGGAGACCCTTGGAGATGTGGAGGTGCAGGAAAGAAAGAAGTGAGGCACAGCATGGGCTGGGGCCATCTTACCTATCGTGATGGCATCGAAGGAAGAGTGGCAGTATTTAGGACCCTGGGTTTCAGGGCGCCTGCCCCGAGGACTGTGAAGGTCCCAGGCCTCAAAGTCAATGAACAGCTTTCCTGGGAGCTGGACAGCCACTGAGCCCCCCAGGGGCTTCCCTTCATGAGGAGGGAGAGAACACACATAGAGGGGGGCTGTGTTGAGGACTCCAGACCACCTCCTTGGTTCCTTTTGTCATTATCTGATGAGAGGCAGGGAAGGTGAGTGGGATGGGGGCTGAGCTGACCCTGGGTATTGGTGTTAACCATAGCACTGAACCCAGGGAAAGCCTGGGAAAGAGGGACCTATTGAGATAAAATTGGGATCGGATGCCAAGCAAGAGTTTGGGACTAAGAAAGGCAGAGGATTCTGAGTCCCGAGCAATACTGGTGGCACGAGGGCAGAGTTCAGGGATGCAGGCTGTGATAACTACAGCAATTATAATAATTATCATTATTATCCTTCCCTTATGAGAGGAGTGAGGCAGAGTCCAATGAATTTAGAATTTGGCAACAACTCCTGAATCCAGTCTTCAACTTCCCAACTGTGTGACCTTGGAAAAGTTACCTAGCCTCTCTAAGCCCCATTCTCCTATCTGTGGACAGAAAGATGCTTATCTCACGGGCGTGTTATGAGTATGTTAAGTGCCTGGCAAGTGGTAGATACTCATGAAATAGTAGCTAATTACCATTATGTTTGCGCAGGTGTCTCAGGCTACAAAGCATGTTCATACCCACTAGCATAATAGCCCTGTGAGGTAAGCAAGGCCTTAGTTATTACCCCTTTTTCACATAAATTAAAGCTGAGGGCACTCAGAGGGGAAATGCTTTCGCTAAGGGCTAATCAAGTATGGAATGATGACTTGAACCCAGGCTTCCTGGCTCTGCCCACCGCACCACACGCTGGGGCAGGCCTAGGGTGCCGGCAGGTCGCTGGGGCAGTAGCACTGGCCAATTCACTCGCCCTGCCTGCTCTGGGAGGGAAGGCCCTATCTGATTTCAAAGCCAGGCAGAGACTCAAGCTCACAGATGGAGTGGAGGAGGCAAGCAAGTACGGCTGGGGGCAGGAATGTGGGCTTTAGGGTCTGGGATGGGGCAAGAGGCAGGACCAAGGATTGGGTCTGGGTGATGGGGCAGGGATGTTTGAGGAGCTGCTGAGGCCACGGTTGGGCAGGGGTTAAGGAAATGAACTGCAAGGGAGAACTGCGCAGGAATTAGGTGGGACTGCTGAAGATAGGCCCAAGGTCTGGGGGAAGCAGGAGCCTGAGGAAGGGGTTTTCAGATTTGAGGAGCCAGGGACTTCAGGACTGGGGAGGACCGCAATGGGAAGAGCCAGATCCCTGCGGTTAGGATAGGGGCTCTAAGTTGAGCAGCAAGTGTCCAAGGACTGGAGGTGCAGGAGTTAAGGGTGGGCCGCTACTGGGGCACGACTGGGGGCTCACCATACAGCCTCTGCACTGCCAGCACGTCGTCCCAGCTGAGCAGTGCGTCGCTGCCCAGTCTCTTGTAGTACGGCGCCATGAGGGCGCGCGGCGCGGGTGAGTGGGTCAGGCCTAGAGTGTGGCCGATCTCGTGCGCCACCACCACGAACAGATTGCGCCCCCGGCGGCGGCTGAGGGACCAGCGCTCGTCCAGGTCGAAGTGTGCTTCGCCTCGCCGGGGCAGGAAGGCGTGCGCCAGAGCGCCCCCTATAGGCGGCACAGTGGGTCAGGGGGAGCGACTGGCCCGCGCCGCCACCAAGTACCCACAGCCTGATGCAAATACCTTTGTGGGGGGGTGGGTGTCGCTATTTGCCGCTGCATAATTTCCCTCCCAATTAAGTCTGGCAGAAGCTGGAGTGTGAGGCAGTGGACAGGTGACTAGGCTGTGCGGTGTGAACGCCTAAGAGACAGCGGGGTGTAAGGATAGTGTGGGGCCAGACTGCCAAGGTTCAGATTCTAATTTTACCATGCTGTGTGACCTTGGGCAAGTAGCTTAACTTCTCTGTGTCTCAGCTTCCTGATCTGAAAATGAGAATGATGACAATGAGCTTCTTTCTTTTGTTCTGAGGATTGTTGTCCTGAGGATTAAATGAGGATGCTAAACGTAATACTTAGAACAGTGTTTAGCACATAAGTGCTACCTAAGAATTTTCAAGAAGCTCTAGGAGACCTAAACCTGTTCTACAATGAACCTCTGAAGAAACTATTGCCCTGAGATAATCTTTAAAACCTTAAACCAAAAACATCTCTTGAATCTTCCTAAAACCAAACAATAGTTTAGCTTAACTGGTAAAGAATGTCTGCCTTGAGCATTGTGCTCTTTTAGGATATATCCATACGGGATCAAACTGACAACGCAGCTTAAAAGATGAGATAGGAAACTTAGAGGGCAGTGAGTTTATGTTAATGGGGGAGGAACAACTTGGAAAAGGAGGGCGAGAATGGTTGCACAACTCGAAGAATGTAATCAATGTCACTGAATTGTACATGTAGAAACTGTTGAATTGGTATATCTTCTGCTGTGTATATTCTCAACAACAATAGAAATAAAATAAATTATTTTTAAAAATCTGCTCTAAAAAATGAAGTTTATTTATAAAAGAAAAACAAGATCTAGGCGTAGGTATAGTGGGTACCCCTAGAAGAGGGCATGATGGAACCTTCTGGGTGCTGGTAATGTTCTGTTTCTCTCTCTGGGTGTGGGCGTGTTCACTTGGTGAAAAGTCATCAAGCTGTAAATTTATGATTTGTACACTTTCTGTGTGTGTATGTTTTCTTCAGTAAACATTATATATATTCTTTTGTTCTTGCCCTTCCTCTACCAAGCCTCCTCTGTGGGCCTCTACCTACCTGCTTGTAAGAGGGGCAGAGGGAGCCAGGCTGGAGCAGTGATTCTCCAGCTTTTAGCATGCCCCACATGGAGCTTACTAGGTATGCAGTTTCCCCCCTTGTAGCTGGCTTTCCTCAGAGGCAGGTGACCCTGATGCAGACCGCACTGTGATAATGTTGACCTAGAGACTTGTTGAGAGTCCTTCAGAGCTGCCTTCTTGGAGCCCAGGCCAACTGGGACCTGGCAAAGGTCGGGAGGCTGGCATTAAAGGACAGCCTCATTCGGGCCTGGAGAGTCGGCGGGGAATACATGCCTCCTGTTCTGAATGTGCCTTGACCTGTTTTGAGCCCTGTTAGATCCATTCCATCAGCTTTCACAATAACCCTGGGAGATGGATGGGCAGATTTCAAAGAGGAGAAGATCAAAACTCAGGAAGACAAAGCGTCTGTCCCACATCAGAGAGCTGCTGGGGGAACCTGGTGTCCAGTGCTATCTTAGCTATCTGACTCGGCCTGGGTACGGACATAAACATCTCATGTGGGTATCATGTGTGAAGTGAGTTATATGCAAGCACATGTGTGTGTTACATGTGGATTCCACAAAACCTAGATTTCCCCTAGTCCTAACCGGGGTCCCAGCAGCCAAGCCTGGAAGTGGTTTTGCTGTGGGTGGGTTTGATGGAAAGCAGGATAGTGCAAAGGTAGGGGTGGGGGAAGGCAAGTTCCCAGGACACACAAGGGTTTAAGTCTCCTCCCTGAGACTTAGAACTCAGGTTTGTTTTCCTCATTAGCGGAGAGATTAGCAGAGGGCCTCTGTTCAGTTTCTAAAGGCCAGTGCTGTGCAGACTAGGAGGAGAGCCACTTAAATTGCAGCCAGAACCCTTCAGGTTAAACAAACAGGAGAACTGTCTGTGGCTGTGGGTATGTGGAACATTTATGTGGCAGGCAGGGGGTAAAACCCCTCTTGTCCTGTGGCAGCTGGAGGAGAGGGCAGGAGTGGGACAGCGGTAGACTTTGGATATTTTTTGAGGGTTCTGATCTGGAGAATATCCACTCCTGTAGAACAAGAGAGGCACAGGCTTTTCTAGAGATGGGATAGATGACAAGACCTCAGAAGCTTCTTCCAGAACAGAAAACATTCTTTAGAGCTTACAAAGCATTTTCCATACAGAACCTCATCTGCATCTGATCTTCCCTTCAGCCATGTGGTACACAATTGGGCAGGTACCACTGTTGCCATTTTACAGATGAAGAGACTGAGAATTCTTTAGAGGGGAAGCAGCTTGCTTGAGGTCACAGGGATAGTGAATGCTCACTGACACCCTAGACTACCTCTTCTGGTTTGGTTTCCCTCCCGCCGTTGGAAGACCCAGCCTGGGTGTGGGAGAGAAAAGGCTTTGTGGGGATGGATGGTCAGCACCTGGGCCGTCGAAGGCGTTGCCTAGCCCGTCGTTGTGGTCCCCTTGGAAGAAGGTGAGGCGGATGTCGGCGGGGCCTGTGGCCGGGGCCTCCCAGAACTCTAGCGCTGAGACATTGCTCCACAGCTGGAAGGCGGCGTGCACAGCCCCTCGAACTGCCGGCTCGGGCAGGTGCTCAGGCCAGTTGACCAGGCGGTAGGAGAGGTGCTGCTTGTACCACTTGTTGCCTGACACCAGAGAGGCCGCGTCAGTTACACCTGGGCCTGGTCCCCGCAGAGCCCTCAGTGTGATGGGGGAAACAGATCATCCCTAGAGGAGCCTCTGATCTGATGGGGAAGACACAGTTCTTGCCCTGGGGAACCCAGTCTGACTGGGGAGACACTACCCTTGCACTGAGAGGAGACACTACCTCTGTCCTGGAAAGCCCTCAGTCCAGTGGCTTTTATGGGGAGACCCCAGTCTGATGGAGGAGATGCAGCCCCTGCCCAACCCAAAGAGGTCTATGTCTGACCCCCCTGGTCTGGGTTCTGTTCTCTTTGCTGAGAACAATTCTGTGCCTCTTGCTGGCAGGAAATTCCAGCCCCTGCCTCTGTGTCAGGGCAGGGGAGAGGTGCGGCCTCCAGGCCACAGCTGTGGCTGCCCTCCCCTCCCCTCCTTCCTCCTTCCCTCCACCCCTCCCACCCTCCTGCCACCTCCTGAGGCTTCACCCTGCCCTTTCCAGTGCCCCAGGCGGGTGGCTGACCAGCGACCACAAGATCCATTTATTTGAGGTCTTTCCCTGCTCCCCTCTCCCTTCCCCTTGCTTCCTCAGGGACTCAGGAGAGCTTCGAGGTGAAAACAAATAAGAACAAAGGGTGTGTTTTGTCAATGACTGAGAGGAATTTTCCCATCTCGGCTTAGTTAAGAGTTTGTTTCCCTTAGCCCAAAACTGAAGTTACTCCCTGAGGGTTGAGAATCTGGCCCCAGGTCAACTGAGTCTGGGTCCCTCTGCAGCTTACCACACACCCAGGAACAGGGTGGTTAGAAGGTTCAGACCCAGGGTTTCTCTTGGGCCATTTCTGAGTGCTGCAAAGTCAGGGGGCCTAGATTGTGACTCCAAGTCCCAGCCTGGAGGGAGACGCACGAGCCCAGGGAGAACGCAAGAGTCATATTCACTTTTGGGCCTTAGTTTCCTCAGTTATACGAATGGACCAGAATCCCTGGAGCATGGACAGCAGGCAGGAAGGGCAGGTCTTGTCATGTCAGGGGGCCAGGCCAGCGGATAGAGAGCCCAGGCCACAGCCACCTCTTTCCCTTGGAAGGGCAGGTGCCCTGTAAGCCCACAGCAGGTTCAGGCCACCTGCCCCTTCGCCCTGGGGAAGCCCTTGCCTGAAAAAGCAGCAGGAATGAAGTCATGGAAGTTTGGCCATCTCCTTCTCCAACATCTCTGTTCTATTTGGAGAAACTGAGACCTGTGGCTCAGGGGTCACAGAATGAGTGATTGGCTGAGCTATGCCCTGAGCCCGGGCCTCCTGACACCTAATCTAGTGCTCTTTCCACTATACCACGGAGATAAGCAGGCACATTTGCTAAAACTCCAGGATTATAAATCTGCCTTGAACATCATTCCTTGGGGTCAAAGCAGGGACTCTGCTGGAACTGAAATTCTCCAGATGGAAGGGAGGGTTTAGAGAGCAAAGGAGTGGGGGAGGGACATGCCCCTTCTCCCACCCTTGAGCCAAGCTCCATTCAAGGCAATGCTGCTGCCCTGGGGCCTGTTTGGCCTGGCAGGCACCCAGCCTCTGCCTCCCAGCCAGTGACCAACCCTCAGGGAGGGAAGATGGAATGATTCTGAGGAATGGAGGGAGACTAGGAAGTCAGAAGGAAGGCCCAGGGTCCAGAGGCCCCCCCTGAGGGTTCATTAGGTATAACAACATTTCTGCATTGAAAGTCTTCACCAGTGGCCCTAAACTGGCTGGCTCAGACTTTTTCCACACTCTGCTGTATGTCACTCTTGCTTTCCGCCCTCAAGTCTTTATTCTTCTAGAAGAGTCTGAGGTGAAGGCTCCTGCCTCTTTGCAGCTTAGGTGCCCCCTCACTTCACAGGCAGGAAAGGGGGAGGGTGGGCAATTCTCTCACTCTAGGTAGCCCATGGGGATGACAGCTCTTAGGATAAAAATCGTGTGTCTGTGTGTGTCTGTGTGTGTGTGTGTGTGTGTGTGTGTGTGTGGTGTTTGGGGTGAGGATAAAAGGGCAAATAAAAGGAATCTAATTTTCCTTGGGAGGAGAACAGTATCCAGGGTCGTTGGTGTGTCTACCAGGAAGGAAGGAACCCATGAGGGAGGGGGTGGGGAGCAGCCTGAGTCCTCGCCGGTATCCATGGCCACCTCCAGGCCCCTGTAGCACCTGGCACTGTACCCCTCTTGCTCTAATGTCCAAAAGGGAACAAAAAACAAACACACAGTTGCCATCAAGTCAGTTCCAACTCCAGCCAACCTCATGTGTTGCAGAGTAGAACTGCTCCATAGGGTTTCTGAGGCTGTGACCTTTCGGAAGCTGATCACCAGGCCTTTCTTCTGAGATGCTTCTGGGTGGCACCACCCAGGGACTCTGTCCAACAGGGAAGGGAGAAAGAAAAGGAGATGGGAAAGGGGAGGAGAGCTAAAAGTCTTGGCTGGGGAGGACTCTGGAGTCCTGACAACCAGTAGGCAGCTGAAGCTGCGGAAAAAGCATGGATTGGAATCCCAGTACCTCCACTTACAAAGTTACATAACAAATCACAGAATCTTGCCAAGCCTCAGTTTCCTTATTTGCAAACTTATTTGCAACATGTGGTGGGTGCTCAGTAAATATCCATCTCCCCCACCCCTGCCAGCTCTGTGAGGGTGCAGGGGGGATCGAAAATCAGCTCTGCAAGCAGAGAGAGGAGCAAGCACTTGGAATGAGGTTGCCAGATTTAACAAATAAAAATACAGGCACTCAGTTCAATTTGAATTTCAGATAAGCAAGAAATAATTTTTTTAGTATGAATATGTCAAAACAAAAAATTATTTGTTGTTCATCAAAAATTCAAATGTAACTAGCTGGGCATCTCGTATTTTACCTGGCAACCCTAACTGGATGCGGGCTTCATCAGCCCAGGGTTCTTGCATATAATGGAAAGTCACTGATCTAGGAATCCATTTCATTTTTTAAGCACCTACCCATGTTTGGGAATTTTCACATCTGGAACTCATTTAATCCTCCCAATAACAAGGTTCAGCCATACTCTGGCTGGGAAAGTTACCCAAGCTCTTGATCCCTCAGTTTGCCCATCTGTAAAGTGAGGATAATGATGGTACTCATTTTATTTGGTTCTTATGCTGATTAAATGAGTTAATCCATTTAGAACCTTGCTTGTCACATCATAAACGCTCAATAAACATTAACTGTTATTACGTTTTCTTTCCTAAGACATAAAAAGTGCTCAGAGCCTCTCAAGCCCACAGCTCCTTTCTAGAGAACATTTTCCCACCCAGGAGGTGCTATCTGAGGGACACTTCTGTGGGTCATGTTGTAAGTGGGAAACTCTCCGTCCAACCTGGCTACTGCTCTCTGGACCAGGCAGGCAACTTGGCTAGTCTGGACGGGGATGAGTCCACCAGCCTAGGTGCCTTGGCACGAATCTCTGCCCAATAGGGGTGCTCTGAATTGGATGGAGACAAATGGACTCCATCAGATCCTCCCTTGGGGCATGAGGAGGTGAGCTGCCATCATATCAGAAGGAAGTATCCCTAGTGCTCGGGTTATGCCCAGAGTGCCTGGAGGCATCTTCCCAATGCTCTGTGAGGCCAGCTACAGCCGGTAGGTGCAGCTGCTGAGACTGCTTCTGGGGCTGCATCACCTCTCACAACGAGTCCCTTCCACTTGGTAATCAGCGCCTGTCTCTCCCTTGCAACCTGAAGAAAACGAAGGTTCATTGAGCAAAGTGACATGACCCAGGTCACATACCTGAGACCTGAACCCAGAGCCCCGGGCTCCAGGGATGTTGTTCCTTCTGCTCTACCACCGCTTCCTGAGCTCATAGTTCTTCTCCCTTCTACCTCATCCTTCCCTCTGCTGCCCAGAAACACAGAGGGATGCAGACACAGAGGGAGCCTGGACCCCAACGCTGACTCTGCTTTACCAGGGGCGCAGTCAGTCAGTACTGGATACCCAGAATGGCTACATAGGTAGACACAGAGGAATTGGATTGGCAAACACCTGGAAACAGCCATCCTGAAATAGCTGATAAATGCAAACTATGTGCCTCTGTCCTTTACCGTTATAGATAAAAGTAGTTACCGCAAATTAAGACTGACAATGGCCCAAAACGCTCACAGTAAAATTAATTACAAGTGCAAACCTGACTGCATAATCCCATCTTGTGAGAAATCTTTGAAATGGCAAACATTGATTAGAGAAAATTAGACATGGTAAAAACCATCAAGATGTTAAAACTATACATGGTAAAACTTGTTATTAATGAAAAATTGACAGAAGAATCAAAATTTCATCCAGCTTAGGTCTTTAACATCAGGCCCTGGAAGACTGGGTTTGGTTAAAAAAAAAAAAAACTACAAAAGGAAAGTCACAACAGTAGAAGCTGTAATGTATAAAATGTGCGATTGTACTACAATGAAAAGTCTAAAACAGGCAAATCTATAGAGACAGAAAGTAGATTAGTGGGTGCCAGGGGCTGGGGAGACTGAGGAATGGGGAATGGGGAGTGACTGCTAACGGGCACAGGGTTCCTTTGTGGGGTGATGAAAATATCCTGGAATTAGATTGTGGTGATGGTTGTGCAGTTCTGAGCATCTACTAAAAAACACTGAATTGTACACTTGGATGGGTGAACAATTGTATGGTATGTGCATTACATCTCAATAAAGCTGTTAAAAAATGAGCTATGGACAAAAGAAAATGGATTGATGGATCACATCATTATTGAATAATTTTTATGAAAAAGAATGGATTCTGATGAAAATAACTTCAGCAAAATGTACATTAAAAAAATGACAACAGTTTAACTGCCCTGCATAGAAAACTGTGGGGATATGTGCCATTAAAATATGGATGTACAAAGGCCTCTATGCTGCACAACATGTTGAGACTTGTCCCCAACATGTTGAGACTTGTCACGACTTGTTTTTCCAAACCCGTTACTGATTGGCTTGTTTACCTGAATCCCTCCTCCCTTGCCCGAAACTTATTGTTATTCACCCAAAGCCCATTGTTCTGTTATTTGCTTCACTGCTTGCTGTATTGACTATAAAATAAACTCCTGGGACTCGAACCGGGGTTCGACTCCTCAGAGTGACCCTCCTGGCCCCACTTCTCTGTAAGAGTTGTGGCATTGGTTATTGTCTCCGCCGCCCCGACAACCGTCACCACTGCGACAGAAAACTGATCAAGGAATTAAGTGGGGTTGATGGAGTTTGCTTTGAAAAATAATTGCACAATGAAAATTCACCAGTATAGGTATAGTTCTTATTTCAATGTCTGTATTCACAAACAGGAGTCCCTGGGTGGTGCAAATAGTTAACACCCTTGGCTGGTAACCAAAAGGTTGGTGGTTTGAGTGTACCCAGAGGTACCTCAGAAGAAAGCCCTGGCGATCTACTTCTGAAATAAAAAATCAGCCACTGAAAATCCTATGGAGCACAGTGCTACTCTGAGACACGTGAGGTTGCCATGAGTCAGAATCCAGTCGATGGTAACTGGTTTGCTATTCACAAACATGGTCCTCAAGCTCAAAATGGGGAGCCAAGAGGCCCTATTTGCCTACTGCTCACCCCTTCCCTGCCCTAAGAAAGAGAAGTTAGTGACAAAGCCCAGTCCCAGGGCTGAGGAACTTTTCTGGTCATAGGACTTCAGGACGCTGGGGACTCCCAGCCTAGCTGGATTTTAACAGTGCTCACCTTGCTTTCCAAAGCGTTTCCTTCGCCTCATTTTCGCCCAGCGTCCAGCAAACAGGGCACTGACCCTCTCAGCCCAGGCTGCATGACTCTCAGCATCGGTAACCCCGCAGCGGGGCCGCATCATCTGTCGTAGGGTGGCACGGTCCAGCACGCCACTGACAGGCAGCTGGGACACCCACTGGAACTCCCTGTCAGGAGGAATTGAGATAAAAGACCTGGGAGGGAGGGTGAGGGGTAGTAGTAAGGGCAGGGAGCCTCCCTGGAGCCAGCAAGAGGCTGGGGACAGAGAGGGAAGGAACGATGGATGATGGCCCCTGGGTACAAGTGATAGGCTGCCTTCCTGGGGCTTGCCCAACCAGCCTTCCAGGGAAAGGACAAGACCACCCAAGCTTTGCACCCCAAAACCTTCAAGTCCTCCACATCCCTTTGTCCTACCTGATGGCATTGCTGAGCCGAGTGGAGGTAGGAGCTTTGGGGACCTGTTCACTGAGGTAGCCATACTTCTCCAGGAATGCCTAGGGGAGAGAGGACCGTCAGCATTTCCCACCATGCAGCATCCTTCCCCCTCCTTTGGCCTCCAAGGATCAAGGGCCTATACATCCTGCCCTGTCTCACCTCTTGCCCCAAGAAGGTTACAGCAAAAAGAGTCCTGGGATCCAAGTCAGAAGGACTGACCCAATTCCAGGCTACCACTAACTAACTGGATGACCTTGGACAAGTCAACCTTTCTGAACCTTAGCTTCCTTATCTCTAAAACTGGGCCAGCAATACCTACCCTGCTATCTCATGGCATTGTTAGGAATTTAGCAGGGCATGCTGGACGGAAGAGTTACCAGCTCTGGAGTTAGGATAGCCTGAGTTTGAATCCTAGCTAGCAAATTATTTCTCTAAACCACAAGTTTCTCACCTGTAAAATGGGCTTAATAATGTTGTTAGTTGACATTGAGTAGATCTCAACTCGTGGGGACCCCATGTATGCAGAGTAGACCTGCTCCATAGGGTTTTCAGGGCTGTGACCCTTCAGCAGCAGATTGCCAGTCTTGTCTTCTAAGGTGCCTCTGCATGGGTTCGAACCACCAACTTTTTGGTCAGTAGTCAAGCACTTAATTGTTTGCGCCACCCAGGGAACCTGGGCTTAGTAATAGTACCTACCTTATAGGTTAGAGTTCCTGGGTAGTGCAAATGGTTAACGTGCTTGGCTGCTAACCAAAAGATTAGAGGTTCAAATCCACCCAGAGGTACCTCAGACGAACGGCTTGGCAATCTACTTGCAAAAAATCAGCCACTGAAACCGTGTGGAGCACAGTTCTTCTGACACGTATGGGGTTGCCACGAGTCGGAATCAACTCAATGGCAACTGATTTGGAACTTACAGATTTATTTTGAGGGTTAAACACAAGAGTGCATATAAAACATTTAACGTGGTGCCTGTCACAAAGTAGGGATTCAATATAAAGTAGCTATTATAGTATGTGTTATGTAAATATACACTATTCATATGCATCAGATTTACTACTGAAACATCTAGCTTTTCTAGGAAACCTTCCTGTTTTGATCAGGAATTGAGCAGACCAAGTGTCAGCTCCGCCATGCCTGGATGGGGAATTAATTCTCTCTCTAATTCTGGCTTCTTCCTAAAAACAATTCTCCTCCCCTAAAAAGCAAATATATTTCGGGACCAATGAACAATAAATGTGCTTACCCTTGACCTTATAGCTGATATAAAAACTTGACACTCTAGAGAAGTATTTTTGAATTAGAAAACTGGCAACTTATTTACTTTCATTCATTCAGTCATTCATGCAATGTACCCTGCTAAGTGCTGTAGTATACAAGACACCCCTGAAGGGGCTTACATGCTAGTGAAGAGAGGTAGACAATAAAATCAGATAACAAGTAAACAAAGAAGATAGTTTTGGTGCTTGGAAGGAAAGAAATCAGGTGATGTGATCTAGAATAAGTTAGAGAGAAACTTCAGATAAGGCAGTCAGGGAAGAAGCCTGAGGAGCTGATATTTTATCTGAGTCCTAAAGAATGAGAAATAGCTAGCTGTTCAACGAGATGGGAAAGAAGATTCCAACTCATAGTGACCCTGTAGGACAGAGTAGAACTGCCCCATAGGGTTTCCAAGGCTGTAATCTTTATAGAAGCAGACTGCCACATCTTTCTCCCACGGAGGGTTCAAACTGCTGACCTTTCCACCACCCCCGCTCCTGTTCCAAGCAGAGGGAACAGCAAATGCAAAAGCCCTGAGCTAGGAATAGCATTGGCATATTTAAGGAATAGAAAGAAGGCTGGAACAAGTTTCCTGAATACAGTCAAACACTTGAGGGACAGAGTAGCAGGGGCGGGGGGCTGGAGACCATGCTTTCAGGGGACATCTAGGTCAATTGGCATAACAGTTTATTAAGAAAATGTTCTGCATCCTACTTTGGTGAGTGGCAGCTGGGGTCTTAAAAGCTAGCAAGCAGCCATCTAAGATGCATCAATTGGTCCCAACCACATGAAGTAAAGGAGAATGAAGAACACCAAAGACATAAGGGAAGTATTAGCCCAAGAGACAGGAAGGGCCACATAGACCAGAGACTTCATTAGCCTGAGACCAGAAGAACTAGACGGTGCCCGGCTACCACCAATGACCTCCCTGACAGGGAACACAACAGAGAGTCCCTGATGGAGCAGGGGAAGGGTGGGATGCAGAACTCAAATTCTAGTAAAAAGACCAGACTTAATGGTCTGACTGAGACTGGAGGAACCCCAGAAAGCATGGCCCCCGGACTCTCTGTCAACCCAGAACTAAAACAATTCCTGAGGCCAACTCTTCAGACAAAGATTGGACAGGACTGTGGGACATAAAATGATACTCGTGAGGAGTGTGCTTCTTAGCTCAAGTAGATACATGAGACTAAACGGGCAGCTTCTGTCCAGAGGTGAGATAAGAAGGCAGAGAGGGTCAGGAGCTGGTTGAATGGACACGGGAAATCAGGGGTGGAAAGGAGGAGTGTGCTATCACACTATGGGGAGAGAAATTAGGGTCACATAACAACGTATGTATAAATTTTTGTATGAGGGACTAACTGGAATTGTAAACTTTCACTTAAACTATAACAATAAAAAACATTAAAAAAAAAAAAAAAAAAAAAAGCTACCCAGGGCCCTGGATCCATCATCATTTCAATGCAAAGGAAAGAACCCACCACCCAGAGTTCCATGAAGCATGTTTTCCTGTGGCCAGGACCCAGGGTGTGGTACTAAGTCCAGAAAAAAAAAAAAAGAAAGAAACAATGAAGGCTGGAACATAGTAAGTGCAAAGAAGCAGGGCATGAGATGAAGTCAAAGAGAGACGCAGAGCTTAGTCAACTAAACTAATAAATCTGGGTTTTCTTTTAGGCTTGCAGATGGATTAGTTGCAGGAAATAAAGCAAAGGAGGCTCCTAAGTTTTTGGCTTGGAACTAGTTGCTGTTGAGTCATCTCCTACTCATGGTGACCCCATGTGTATCAGACTAGAGCTGTGCTCCATGGGGTTTAAGGGGCTAATTTTTCAGAAGTAGATCACCAGGCCTTTCTTCCAAGGCACCTCTAGGTGGACTGAAACCTCCAACCTTTCGGTTAGCAACTGGGCTCATTAATCGGTTGCACCAGAGGGTGATGCCCTTTACTGTATGAGGATGCCTGAGGAGAAGCAGATGGGCCTGGGGTGGGAGTAATATTAGTGCAGTGAGGTCAAAGTGGCAATGGCTGTATAACTCTGGAGCTCAAAGGAGAGGCTGGATTCTTCCAGCGGTACATGATGTGAAGCCAAGGACCTGGACGAGGTCCCCTGGGAAATCAGTGAAACTAGAGAACAGCCAACAGCCCAACTACTTTTTGCTCACTGCCTACCCTCAGATACCTGGAAGCTGTTCTCCCAGCAACTAAGTTGTTGGAGGCCAGTGGAGAGAAGTGTGTCCTCACCTAGCATCCATCCCGCCCTTCAAGGAGATGATGCACTTGGGTCCCAGCTTGCCTCTCTTGATGATAAAGTCCCATAAATATCACCTTGGCTGTGTAATTCTTACACAGAGATACATGTTTTTGTTGTTAGTTATAACCAAGTTGGCTTCAGCTCATGGCAAGCCCATATACAATGGAATGAAATGTTGCCCGGTCCTGCACCATCTTCACGATTATTGCTACGTTCAAGTCCACTGTTGTGGCCACTGTGTATTTGGAGTGCCTTCTGACCTAGGGGGCTCATCTTCTAGCACTACAATGGACAATATTCTGTTGTGATCCATAGGGCTTTCACTGGCTGATTTTTGGAAGCAGATCACCAGGCCTTTCTTCCTAGTCTGTCTTAGTCTGGAAGCTCTGCTGAAACCTGTCCATCATGGGTGACCCTGCTGCTATTTGAAATACTGGTGGCATAGCTTCCAGCATCACAGCAACACACAAGCCACCACAGTGTGACAAATTCTCAGACGAGTGGTGAATAGATACACATAGCCTCCTAATTTTTACCCCTGCTTATTACCTCTGAAATAATTTTGTCTTCCTTGTTCTCTTATCCCTGCTTTTCTTCGCTGTATTTTTTAATTCAAATCAATTCCAATCATAGCTGCTGCCTAAAGGAAAATGCAGAAATTGGAAAATAAAGCTAGACACAAAGAGCTAGGATCGTCAAGCCCATAAGCCTTTGCAAGTATTCAGATTCCTCTTTCTCGATTTCATTTACATTGTTTTCAGTCACCTCCACATCCTCTTCTCAATAAGCTATTTTCCATTCTAGACGACAGAACGTTTTCCAAGTCCATTTCAGTGGAGTTTTTTCTGCATTAATTTATTAGTATTTCAGCACTGTTGTTTTCTTCTTTACTTGGCAAATGTATACGATTTTTGGATGCATAATGGATTAAAGGGTTTCTAGTGGCTTAATCGGAGTCCCTGGGTATTGCAAATGGTTAAACAGTCAACCAATAGCCAAAAAGTTGGTGGTTTGAACCCACACAGAAGTACCTTGGAAGAAAGGTTTGGTGATCTGCTTCCGAAAGGTCACAGCCTCGAAAACCCTATGGAGCACAGTTTTGCTCTGCAGTACATGGGGTTGCTGTGAGTCAGAATTGACTCGATGGCAACTGATTTGGCTTTTTTACTGGCTTACTCTGGGAAACTGTACTTCTCAAAATAGTGTGGCATCACAGAATGGCCACAGGATTTGGAGTCTAGATTCTGTTCCCAACCCTGACTCTGCTGGGTGGCTGGGGACAAATTATTGAATCTCAGTCTCTGTTTCTTCACGTACAACGTGGGAATAAGAATAACCCCAAAGGATTCTTGGAAGGATTAAATAAGGGAATGCACATGTAGCAAGGTCCCTAGGTGGCACAAATGGTTTGCACTCAACCTCTAACCAAAAGGTTGGTGGTTTGAACCCACCAAGTGGCACCGTGGAAGAAAGGCCTGGGGATCTGCTTCTGTAAACATTACAGCCAAGAAAACTCTATGGAGCAGTTCTACTCTGTAACACATGAGTTG